TAGTTCATTGGCTTTGGTGTTTGCTCTTCATCACTACAAGCCCACTCCTCTTTACTTCATGGACGAGATTGATGCAGCCCTTGATTTTAAAAATGTGTCCATTGTTGCATTTTATATATATGTAAGTAATCATTTTGGGATTTTCATTCCAGAAACTTAAAGGGGTACCCTAAACATTATTTCTTACTATTGAGCTTTTCTTTATTCTCTAACTCCATCTCTGCTGGTATCAGTAGAGACCAGATTATTTTTTATTTGAACCAAATATTTCCATTTTGGAGGATTAAAATATAAATTAAAAATGCAAATTAATCGCAGAATCACAGCTAAAGTCCTAGGTCATTTTCCTAGATTTTTTCCACTAGAAGTCAAAATAACCACATTCCTTTCAAACTCAAATACTGTTTTATGAATTATTCCTGCCATCATTCCTTTACATGTTATCAATGTAATGTTTATTGTCCAAAAAATATTTGAGGTTACATGTTTGTGTGATTTACCTGTTACTACTTAACATTTCTTATTCTTTCTTTCTCTTTAGGAACAAACAAAAAATGCACAGTTCATAATAATTTCTCTTCGAAATAATATGTTTGAGATTTCAGATAGACTTATTGGAATTTACAAGACATACAACATAACAAAAAGTGTTGCAGTAAATCCAAAAGAAATTGCATCTAAAGGACTTTGTTGAACTTGTTTATACTGAAGATTCTTCAAATTGATTCAGTGTATTACTGATTTTTTTCTATTTGTAAAGGATTATGAGTTGTATAAAATACTCCTTAAACTAGATTACGAAACTGGTTTCTATTTTATGCAGTTCAGTGATTTATAGGGTCTAATAAAACATTCTCTGTAACTGCTTCTAGATTGCAAAAATATGATCATTCTGTAAGTAGCAGACAATGGAGAAAAATGAGCTACCTGGAGGGTCACATAACTTGCCCTTAGTTCCAAGTTGCTGCCAGCAAAGTAAAAAGTATGTTAGTATGTTAGTTGAGGCAAAGTCCTAAACTAGCTTATGCTATCAAGGCTCAGCATACCTTTGAGGGCCTTTGACTTACCTACACTAGAAAAGTCTGCCAGCTAATCTTGGATCGATTAAGGAGCATTCCACTTAGCTTACCAGTTTAGACAATCACCAATTATTACCCAAATGCTAGGAACATATTTTTGTAAACCAGTCATTCTGAATTATAGTGATGAGAATTTAAGTATCATATACTTTTCTAAAATTTGATGTGTTTGACCACTTAAGTTGTAAGAGAGAGCCAGTACATTAAGATAGTGTCTTTAACAAGCCTAGGCTATCATCTCAAAAGTAGAAAAACATCCCATTATAGTTGCTTGATGAGTATGAAGTAAGATGGTTCAACTTACAAATTTTCAACTTTTTGAAACCTTTATCAGGGTACTCAAATGCATTTCAACTTGATAGTTTCAACTTACAGGTTTACCAGGATGTAGCCCCTCTGTTGGAGCATCTGTATTTGAGTAATCTTTGCCTATAAATTTGTCAGGGTATTTTTACACTATTGGCTTAAGAATGTTATAATGCTACTGGACATAAGTTGGCAACCACTTGGTTTTTAGAAGGACCTGCAGTATTGAAGTAGAAGTCTGCCCTAGCTATTTAATTCCTGGGTATTTATCCTAAGGAATCAGAGTTAATTGTTGCTTCTGTGGACCATTGTTTTTGATATTTAAAAAAAAAAAAAAAACAGTTTGTATCACGTAACTATAAAAATGTAAACATTTGTAGCATGGCCTTTTAAATAAAGCAAGATCTGAAGTTCAAGTATGGTAATTTGTTCTAAATAAAGAATATATAAGGGAAAACATTTAAAATGCTATAATTATCAAGTATTTTCACTTGGTGGGAGAAATGAATAGAATTTAATACTTCCATTATTTTTTTTGGCGGGGCGTCTCAGTTACCCAAGGTGGAGTGCTGAGGCAAGATCTTGGCCCACTGCAACCCCGCCTCACAGTTTCAAGGGATTCTCTTGCCTCAGCACCTGCAGGGGCTGGGCCTACAGGTGCACAGCAGTGCCCAGCTACTTTTTGTATTTTTGGTAAAGATGATGGGGTTTTGCCAGCCAGGTGCGGTGGCTCAAGCCTGTAATCCCAGCACTTTGGGAGACCGAGGCGGGTGGATCACGAGGTCAAGAGATCAAGACCATCCTGGTGAAACCCCATCTCTACTAAAAATACAAAAAAAATTAGCTGGGCATGGTTGCACGTGCCTGTAATCCCAGCTGCTCAGGAGGCTGTGGCAGGAGAATTGCCTGAACCCAGGAGGCGGAGGTTGCAGTGAGCCGAGATGGTGCCATTGCACTCCAGCCTGGGTAACAAGAGCAAAACTCCGTCTCAAAAAAAAAAAAAAAAAGATGTGGTTTTGCCATGCTGGCCAACCTGGTCTCAAACTCCTGGCCTCAAGTGATCTGCCTGCCTCAGCCTCCCAAAGTGCTGGGACTACAGGGATGAGCCACGGCACCCCAGCCTGCAGTACTAAGTTTCAAAGGATTAGAAGTACTTAGAACCTATTTGAAAATCCCATAGCTACCACTCCTGAGTGGAACTCTCATTAAGCCACTCAGTGCAAATATCAAAAGGAGTTTATTAAAATTTCATTATACATAAAACTTAAAATATTTTAAGATTTATATACGTTAACTTTTACAATCTTCCTCCTGGTAAAAATTCAAAACAGTGCCGGGCGCAGTGGCTCAAGCCTGTAATCCCAGCACTTTGGGAGGCCGAGGCGGGTGGATCACGAGGTCAAGAGATCGAGACCACCCTGGTCAACATGGTGAAACCCCGTCTCTACTAAAAATACAAAAAATTAGCTGGGCATGGTGGTGCGTGCCTGTAATCCCAGCTACTCTGGAGGCTGAGGCAGGAGAATTGCCTGAGCACAGGAGGCGGAGGTTGCGGTGAGCCGAGATCGCGCCACTGCACTCCAGCCTGGGTAACAAGCGCGAAACTCCGTCTCAAAAAAAAAAAAAAAATTCAAAACAGCAGCCTAAGAACCAGTTACTCATAAACTTAACTGTATTTATATATAACAAAATGAAAAATTTTACTAAAAACTGGCAAGACACAATGTCAATAGTATAGATACATAATTTTGTGTTTAGCTATAATTCCTACCAATTATAAACCCTTATTAATTTTGGCCTACTTTAAAATTGAGTGATAGCATGAACTCTGAAGATAATGTATGGGTTCTCTCCACAGCTCTATGGCCTTGAGCAAGTCACTTTTGTCAGTTCCCTCTACAAAGAGTGGGGGTTAAAAATATTCACATCACAGAAATGCAAAATTAGATGGCATACATTTCATTGCTTACGTGTATTTTAAACTACCAGGCAAGGCACTTTTATGGTGTGACTAGTATAAAATGAATGCAACTTTTAAGTTTTACAATTAGTTCCCTGAAAAAGCTGTATTTATTTATGATAGTTTATATGCAATCTGTAGAGCCAGGAACATTGTCTAATCTGACCCAAAACATCTTTTTGAACTAGATAAAGAGCAGCCCATTTGGGATTTCTGGAAAGCAAATCAACTTGCACTTAGGGTTGCATGGACAGTGTGCCAAAAGTCATAACATACGCATCATAACTCCAGTCTCTGTTAAACGGAACTACAAGGTTTTGATTTAATAAGCTCTCTTAAAGCTAAGAATATAAGATTAAGTTGTTAGAACTTTTGCATTAGCTTTAGTGAATGTATGGAAATTTTAATATGAACTAGTTTTTAATATGAATAAAGTCTACATGATGCCATCAAAACCTGTTGCAGATCAGTTCACGAACATGATTCTGTTCTAGTAAGAATGAAGGTTTTTAGTTTTTTGAGATGCAATCTTGCTCTGTCACCCAGGCTGGCGTTCAGTGGCGCAGTCTCAGCTCACTACAACCTCTGCCTCCCAGGTTCAAGCAGTTCTGCCTCAGCCTCCCATGTAGTTGCAACTATAGGCGCATACCACAATGCCCAGCTCATTTGTATTTTTAGTAGAGATGGGGTTTCATCGTGTTAGCCAGGATGGTCTCCATCTGACCTCATGATCTGCCCTCCTGGGCCTCCCAAAGCGCTGGAATTACAGGTGTGAGCCACCGCGGCCCACCAAAATGAATTTTTATCAAATAACTTATTTGACTGATGAGTAGAAAAGTTAAACACAATCTTAAATTTACACGAACTATATATGACAAGTATTAGAAAATGCTGAACCCCAGGCACAGTGGCTTACGTCTGTAAAGCCACATCTGTAATGCCAGCACTTCGGGAAGCTAAGGTGGGGGGAATCCCTTGAGCCCAGAAGTTTGAGACCAACCTGGGCAATATGGTAAAAAACATTTCTACAACAACAACAAAAAAAAAAACACCTTTTTTTAAAAATTAGCCAGGCCTGGAAGCATGTGCCTTGTCCCAGCTACTCCAGAGGCAAAGGTAGGAGGATCTACTGAGCCTGGGTGGTCGAAACCGCAGCTAACGATGGCCAGACCACTGCACTCCAGCCTGGGGGAAAAGTGAGACCTCTTCTCAAAAAGTTTTTTTTTTTAAGCCACTGTTCCCTAACAGCTACCCAAAAGCAATAGCTTTATTCAGAGGGAATGCTAATAAATATTTAGGGCTCTTAAATCTACCTAAAACACGTATGTTTGATCAAAAGATCTTTAAGCAATGCCTTATCACTTTAAGACTTTGTTGCTTGATTTTAAAACCTCTTTATCATCCTTATTCACCCATTCAAAAGCTTCAAGCCACATCAAAACAAAGGCATGTGTACTTTCAGATTTTGCTATATATAAAGAACTATAAAGCCAATCAACTGCAGTATATAATAATAGTAAAAGACAATATTGGTACAAGAATGTTTAAATGTCACAGCAACATTGTTAACCTTCACAAAGCCAATAAAAATGGGATAATTAACTTTCAAAGTAGTTACTAGATTTTATTAACTTTAGATAAACTATAGATAATTAACTTTCAAAGTAGTTACTAGATTGATTTGAATATTTCAGGTATCTCATTTCTAACTTTGACATATCATTGCTAACCAAAAGAAGCAACAAATATAAACACAATTTCTATTAGTTGCGGCGCTAATAAAGCTGTTTGCTATTTTTTTTCATTTAGCAATGGTTAATCTCTGCTGCACAGAAGCAGCCCATTTAAACCATTCAGATTGACGTTTTCAATAAGAAACTATTTTCCATACGAATTCCTTCAATAAATAGAAAATGTGATACAGTATATTCTTTACATCATGCAGACTGTTAGATAAACTTTGGTCAATGGATAGCGAGGCTTCAGAAAACCATACTAAAGTAATTTCATTTAAAAAGGTTATGATGTGTTGGTTGAAAAAGAGTATCAACATCAGTATCACTGAAATTAATGTAACTATAACAACATTTAAATTTTTCAAAAATTCAATTCCCTTTTCATCCTTATCAGGCCAGGAACATGGCATCCTTTTTGGAGAAATTTTCATTTTGGGAATGAGAATTTTATTAATTTGTCCAATTTCTGTTCTGTTCCATTCTTCTTTCAATACTTTGCTTACTCGAGGATAAATTTCAACAGGTAGAACCTCAGGAAGGGGTCTTTGTTTCAAGATCTGTACACGCTGGCGTACATCATCAACTTTTTCAAGAAAATTAAGTGGAGACTCTTCTTGTAAAGATGTTGTCAGTGTCATTAATTCAAGCTGCTGCTCTCTTATTTCTTTCATTCTTTCAATTTGTGGAGTATATTCTTGATTAATCAGATTGCTAACATCATAGAGAGCTGTTAGGAATTTTTTTTTTTTCTGTTCTAATGTATCATTAAGCTCCTTAAAATACTGGAGAACAAATTCCTTTTCACCTTGGACCATTTTCTCAGAATGAGATTTTTGTTCTTCCAGCTTTTCAATAAGATGAGTAAGATCTGTCCAGTGTGTGTCAGTCAACTGTTCAAGCAGTTTTTGAGGAGTGTTCTTTTCTTTCAAATAGGCACTTTGAAGGTCATCTATAGGATGACCATGATGTTCACCTATGGTAAGGCAATGACCACAAACTAATTTTTTGTCTAGTAGACAGTAAACATTTAATGGTTGCCTGTAATGTTCAGGGCAGGTGACAATATCTGGATGGTCTTCTTGCTGGTACTTTTCAATAATAGCTCTTAAAGCAAAATTAACAGGTAAAGATTCAATGCCAGTTGGAGCAATTTCAATAATACTTCTGCAATTAGGGCACTTGAGTGGAATTCGTAAAGGTCTCCATATATAAAAGTTACCAGATGCCTGAAGAACATTTTCCAAACAATTTCTACAAAATGTATGGGAGCATGGCAGTACACGAGGATCTTCAAAAATACTGTAACATATGGGACAAGTTAACTCTTCCTCAAAATTGTGCATTTCCTGTCAAGACGAAAAAGTATTTTAAGCTTACATAGAGACAGCTGTACATATTAACATTCTAGGCATTAACCTTCAAATTGTTACTACACTGTTTTGTCATTTAAAAGATAACAAGGTATTTTTAGCTGGGCGCATTGGCTCACGCCTGTAATCCCAGCACTTCAGGAGGCTGAGGCAGGTGGATCACGAGGTCAGGAGTTCGAGACCAGGCTGGCCAATATGCTGAAACCCCGTCTCTACTAAAAATGCAAAACATTAGCTGGGCATGGTGGCATGCACCTGTAATCCCAGCTGCTCAGCAGGCCGAGCAGAATTGCTTGAACCCAGGAGGTAGAGGTTGCAGTGAGCCAAGATCTCACCACTGCACTCCAGCCTGGGCAACAGAACAAGACTCTTTCTCAAAGAAAAAAAAAAAAATAGAACAAGGTATTTTTTAAATGAACCTTTCTTAGTAATCCAATGCCTAGTATATATAGTGAATGATTGATCACAATTAACAGTTTATTCCTTAGGGATCAAAATCATCCCAAATAAAGCAATTATCATTAATTTGTAGTAAAATGCTTCAAATTAGAGTTATTTAAATTTGTTGCTATGTGCCATGGTTTGACTGTGTCTCCACCCAAATCTCATCTTGAATTGTAGCTCCCTTAATTTCCACATGTTGTGGGAGGGGCCCGGTGGGAGATAACTGAATCACAGGGTCGGTTCCCCCATACAGCTGTTGCGGTAGTGAATAAGTATCACGAGATCTGACGGTTTTATAAGAAGGAACCCTTTTGCTTGGCTCACATCCTCCCTTCTTGTATGCCACCATGTTAGACATGCCTTTCACCTTCCACCATGATTGTGAGGTCTCCCCAGCTATGTAGAATTTTGAGTCCATTAAACCTCTTTTTCCTCATAAATTACCCAGTCTCGAGTATGTCTTTATCAGCAGCATGAAAACAGACTAATACAATATGTAATAAAGACTTAAGTAAAATTCAAAGTTTTCTGTGAAAGTCTATTTAGTGATTACAAATATTCTGTGCAATGTTTTAATATTTAAGATGATAAAATCAGGCCGGGTGCGGTGGCTCAAGCCTGTAATCCCAGCACTTTGGGAGGCCGAGGCGGGTGGATCATGAGGTCGAGAGATCGAGACCATCCTGGTCAACATGGTGAAACCCCGTCTCTACTAAAAATACAAAAAAAATTAGCTGGGCATGGTGGCGCATGCCTGTAATCCCAGCTACTTAGGAGGCTGAGGCAGGAGAATTGCCTGAGCCCAGGAGGCGGAGGTTGCGGTGAGCCGAGATCGCGCCATTGCACTCCAGCCTGGGTAACAAGAGCGAAACTCCGTCTCAAAAAAAAAAAAAAAAAAAAAAAAAGATGATAAAATCAAAACCAAACACATAAAATGAGTAGACAAGACTATTTCTATTATAATAAGTTAGGCTTATTAAAAGTATATTCTTTAATACAAAAGGAGGAAACATGTACCAGGTGGCTCAATCGTGGTTTCTAAAGCAAGTTATTAAATTTCTCCATAGTAACTGTTACTACCATAAATTTTTTAGCTTCTTGAATTAGAATACAAGTATGCCTAAAACCCAGGATCAGCATAGTGTAATTTTCTAAGGCAGTAATTTTAACTTGGAGATCTATAGAGAAGGCAGAAAAATTCTGAATTAATCCTTATAATAAAAATCAGTTTGGGCCGGGCGCAGTGGCTCAAGCCTGTAATCCCAGCACTTTGGGAGGCCGAGGCGGGTGGATCACAAGGTCCAGAGATCGAGACCAACCTGGTCAACATGGTGAAACCCCGTCTCTACTAAAAATACAAAAAATTAGCTGGGCATTGTGGCACGTGCCTATAATCCCAGCTACTCAGGAGGCTGAGGCAGGAGAATTGCCTGAACCCAGGAGGCGGAGGTTGCGGTGAGCCGAGATCGCGCCATTGCACTCCAGCCTGGGTAACAAGAGCAAAACTCCGTCTCAAAAAAAAAAAAAAAAAATCAGTTTGAAAGATAAGATTTAACTATGGTAACTGTGAATTACTGCCTTAATTTTTAAGTGAAAAACTAGAGCACTAAATGGTAAAGAATATGAAGGAGACCATTAGTCATCTTTCCTTCATGAAAAAGTCCCTTGATAAGTATTTCTCTGAAACAGAAAAAGAAACCCAGCAGTAGTTCAGAGACCATCTCTGACACAAGTAACTTGACCTCTTGACAAGCTATTATTGATATTTCCAGTACCAAAAGCCTGACCATTTTGCATCCTACCACCTCTTACTGTCTTCCTTTATACCTACCCTCAATACAGGCCACAATTGTAAAGACTGGCTTCCTCCTTGATAGAGAAAAATCAAGTTACACCACTGTCGAAAGTACCTTAAGCAAAACTTAAAAACCCAAGTGCCAGTCATGTAAAATATAAAGGTTACCAAATCACATGCTATAAAACTAACTTTCAATATTAAAAATCTGTGAAAACAGCATCTAAAAGTAACTAATTGCATTTTTAACCTGATTTTTTTTTTTTGAGACGGAGTTTCGCTCTTGTTACCCAGGCTGGAGTGCAATGGCGTGATCTTGGCTCACCACAACCTCCGCCTCCTGGGCTCAGGGAATTCTCCTGCCTCAGCCTTCTGAGTAGCTGGGATTACAGGCATGTGCCACCATGCCCAGCTAATTTTTTATGTATTTTTAGTAGAGATGGGGTTTCACCATGTTGACCAGGATGGTCTCGATCTCTTGACCTTGTGATCTACCCGCCTCGGCCTCCCAAAGTGCTGGGATTACAGGCTTGAGCCACCGCGCCCGGCCTTAACCTGATTTTTTTAATTATTTTATTTATTTATTTATTTATTGAGACGGAGTTTCACTGTTGTTACCCAGGCTGGAGTGCAATGGCGCGATCTCGGCTCACCACAACTTCCGCCTCCTGGGTTCAGGCAATTCTCCTGCCTCAGCCTCCTGAGTAGCTGGGATTACAGGCGCGCACCACCATGCCCAGCTAATGCTTTGTATTTTTAGTAGAGAGGGGGTTTCACCACATTGACCAGGATGGTCTCGATCTGTTGACCTCATGATCCACCTGCCTCGGCCTCCCAAACTACTCGGATTACAGGCGTGAGCCACCGTGCCCAGCCACTAATTGCATTTTTAATAAAAAGCAAACTTGGCCCCTTTTCTTTACCAACTGTCAAACTCTTTTTTTTTTGAGCCTTATCTTATTCGTTACTCAAAACATCTTTTTGAGCCTGATCTTATTTGTTACTCAAAACATCTTATTTCTGACTGGATTCAGACTTAAAAGTAGAAGCTCGCAGAGACGAAAGTCTGCGTCTCTTCGCAATTTGTTCCTGGTGCTTTTCTTTAGCCTCCTTCATTCTCTTGGCCAAAAGTTTAGCATATTCTGCGGCCTCTTCCTTATTGTTCTTAGCACACTGCTTCTTCAGAGCAATATGCCACCGTTTGTGCTGCAGGACACGTGGAGTAACAAGACACTGAATCTTGGGTGCTTTGGTCCTAGGTTTCTTACCTTCTTTATTTAAGGGCTTTCTTACAACATACTGGCGGACATCATCATCTTTAGAAAGGCTGAAAAGTTTGCAGATTCTGCTAGCTCTTTTGGGTCCCAGGCGACGAGGCATGGTGGTATCAGTTAGTCCAGGAATATCCTCCTCTCATTTTTTTTTTTTTTACAATAACCAAATTGAGAATGCTCAGATTAGCATCCACAATGCAACCACAAACTGATTTTCTCTTTCTCTAGTTCTCCTTGGTCTGTAACAGGAATGCCCCTTACTCAGTAGCAGGCGGACATGGCCATGGGTTAAGACACCCTGCTTCATGGGGAAACCTTGTTTGTCGTTCCCACCACTGATTCAGACCACATAACCCTTCCATTCTTCACCCAGTGCATCAGCAGCAACTTCTGTTGCCATACGCTTCTCATAAAAAGCACGAAGTTTGCATTCATCGTCCACTTCAATGAGTTTCTGGCAGCCAGTAGCTGGGAAGGAGATGTTCAGCTTCACCTTGAAGCACCTCTATATACTCCTTCGAGGTGCCATGGAAAAGAAGCTACCAACTGTCAAACTCTTACTCTTCCTTTAAGCCTCAACTTGAGCCTGCCTTTTCCCCAGATTAGGTCCCCTGTCATTCTCACTAAACACTGCACTTCTACTTCATAGCACTTTAACAGCATTTTATTTAAAACAATTCTGCAACTCTTCTGTATACATTAGAATGTAGGCCTCCTGTAAGAGCAGGAATTGTGTCTAAACTATGGTTATATTCCTGCAATTCAGACGCAAATTTTAACACAGTAGGCATTTACTTGTTATTGGTTCAGTGAACTCACGCCTTTTCAAAAACCAGCGGCTAATACAGACTTTTGTTTTTTGGGGGGTTTAATAGCAAAATCTCTGCTTAGGAAAAGGTGTAAAAGGCAAATCTCTCAGAAAATACTCCATTCAGACTGACGGCATTCAGATCTCAAGTGAGCCAAAGTGTGTCACAGAGACTAAGCTTGAACTGTGAAGCATTCCAGCAAACTAAAGTAATTGAGCAACAGTAAAGAAGATGACATTCACTGCAGATAAATTCAAGTGAGTGCATGTTGGCAAGACCATACAACTTTACCCTACACCTACAGAAAGCTCTGAAGTCATACAGAAACCATCCAAGAAAAACAAACGTGTTTTTCACAGTATTTCAGTGATGTCAGAATTCACATGAAGGAATAAACAGAGTAACACTTTGTAGGAAACAAAATTTGAGCAGTGGACATGCATTTAATCTAGATTTAACATTACTGGAGCTATTAAATTGTTTAAGTAGCAAAATTAGTCCTAAAACACAATCTAACTCTTCTCTCCAAACCCCATCCTATATTTGCCAAAAGCTAGGAAACAACTCTGAGAATGTATTTCATTCTCAGAGTTGTTTGAGGGGCCAAAAGCTCAACTTTCTTTAGAATGAGAATATTCACAACATTGTAAACAA